CTGCGTAGCTCACCACTTTGCTAAATTATATAAATCACATCCCCTTCGTCAAGGGCTCTTACGCGAGACGCTTAATCCACCCTCCGCGCCCCTCGGCGCCTCGCGGCGGCTGCAACACCTCCGAGAGTTGTACAGTAGTTACTTTACATTAAGCAGCCATTAATTAAATCGTATACCCGTTAATTATCCCGGCGTCTCCTTAACCGGATGCTTGCGGATCGTTTCCACGGAGGCGGCGGAAACTCTTAAAACGTTTTTAAGGCCGATCCCAGGCGAATCTGGACCGACGAGCAATTAACATGTGGACAGAGGAGCGGTAATCATTCTTTAATATGTTTTTCGTATCCCTGACTCTCGGATTTAGTTCTGCCAAGTTAATTTGCGGATAAATGCTTCGAAATATTGATCTTCCTAAGCTTTTCCCGATGGATATTCATTTGAAATTTTTAACTATCGTTCGGAGAATCGTTTGTTTTATGATACATTAGAGTTGTTAATTTTGTAACGAATGTTTTCGCGAGCAAGTCTGAACGAACTGTACTTTTGAAAAGAGCGTCGTGAATTTTAGAACTTTTTTCCAGCCGACGCGTTGTAAAGGGGGCTCGTTATAGCAGCCGGCGCTTTCGAGTTTATAGCGACACGGCCGTAAAAAAGAAGTTCCGAACGACTTTTCCCGACGTTCGGCTGGAAACCGCGAAGAAGCGCGATTCGGTGGAAACGCGCCCGTAATGCCGGCTAATTGAAAGTTCGTCCCGGGCATGTAATTTGAATAAGTTCCTCGTAAAGCTGCTGAATTTATGCTGATGTCGGGCGGACCGGACGAAATGAGCTGTGAACGATTCGGAAAGATTACGGCGACGGCTTCGCAAATTAATCGACGCGGAGATTCTGAGTCATCGGGAAAATCGGTCCTCCGTGTCAATGAAAATCTCTGAGTCGACGCGCCTTCGAATTATATTGTCGGCGAACGATATCGGACATCTTACTGAACTCTCTTGGATAAACTGAGCTTTATCAGGGGCATGGTAACTCAATTTTCAGACGCGATCGCAAATCGAAAACGTTTTCGTCACCTTTCTTAACACTGCGACTGTCGAATCGGTTGAAATGACCCATTCGTGAATTATTCTTTTACAATTATTGAAAAGATAACGCTCCTTTGCGAAATTAATGAAAAAATTGACTTAGTAACTCGCGAATCGAATTATAAATCAATTGAAGTCTCGATAGCTGAGTCTTAGAGTCTCCATGGGAAAATTTGAAAGCTTCAATTTCACTCCTCGGTAGTTCTAGTGTTACTAAAGAAGCTATTGACCCTTTGCACTCGGAAGCTTTTCACTGGAAACATTCGACACTTTCCAATGAGACATAGGCGACACTATTTGAAACGAACCAATAAGAAAACATACGTAAATTAAGAAACAAAGCTATTTTATATAAATATTTCACATATTGAAGCGTTATACAAAACTTAGTATTATATATACCACTTTGTAATTTGTTATATCAGATCAAATGGTGACTAAGAGTCACCTCTCGAGTGCAAAGGGTTAAGCTGTTCGAAGTGAACTGTAGAAATGGGATAGAATTGATCGGAATTGCTTATTGCCAGCAAAGACCAAACGATGATTAGAAAGAGCCGATTCCTCAGGTTCGAACTGCCGCAACAACGGGAACGGGAACGGCAAGCAACGGAGATCCCGGACGAACTTCACGCTGGAACAGTTGGCAGAGCTGGAGAGGCTGTTCGACGAGACGCACTACCCCGACGCGTTCATGAGGGAGGAACTAAGTCAGAGACTCGGACTGAGCGAGGCAAGGGTTCAAGTTTGGTTCCAGAATCGACGGGCGAAGTGTCGCAAACACGAGAGCCAATTGCACAAAGGTGCGTTAAATATTGCTCCCGCCGTAAAACAATTTGAATAATCAATACCTCGGTACATTATTTACATACTCCGACAAGCAATCCTCATTATTAGACCTGGGAATTTCAAACATTTACATTTTCATTCTACGTTTTCCAAATGCACACGTTGCCATTAACCCCTTGTACCTTGACGAGCCTCACTCGCGATCACAATTTCAGACCAAACATAAACGTCACTAGTGAGACTCTGCTAACATCTCTCCTTACCATTTCTCTACACCTTTCACTACCACTACCATTCGGTAAGCCAGTACGACATAACTCGAATTTTACTTAACCCATTGCCAATACATTTTCAGTGTTAACACGTTGAATGCCATGGGGGTCACCGGCGACCCCCGACCAGATCGAATTACTATAATTCAATCAATTCTATATTATAAGTAATACTGCCTAATGTGGTGACATTCGACCAGATGAACGTGCAATAAAAATAAAACGATTCAATGGGATAATTTCATATTATATATTTTTCATAGTGTATAGTTTGCTACGTGAAATCGTGTGGCATTCAACGTGTTAAAATTATGCCCAGAAACGCTATTTTAATCGTTTGTTTCGACTTGTTCAGTCGACGAAAAATCGCACACGAAGCAACTTACACGTTATCTAGACTGTTACGTCACTTTGTTCAATCATCGAAGAATAAACGAGTAAATGCGTCAGTGCAGTCCGTAAAATGGACGGCTATAGCCGTCGTTCGCGGAAATGGGTTAATGGCTAAACGGTTGCGCAAGGAGTTGGACTATTTCTATTTACCTAGGTCCGCCAATGTCGCTTTTAAAGTTTCCCTTATGAAACAAGAGTTCTATCCAAAGTTACAGGGGTAGCAGGTGGAATGGTGCTGGCGCCGCGCAGTCCCCCGACCAGTTTGGAGCCGTGCCGTGTCGCGCCCTATCTGCCAGCGTTAAGGTTGCACCCTCCGCTGCAGGGTGCAAGCGGGAACGTGACCGTCGCCGCTGGCTCGGCTTTCGACCCGGCAGTCCTCCATTACGCGACGGCCGGCGGACTTTTTTGTTTGCCACCGCCGCCGCCGCCGCCGACTTCCGGCCACCCACACTCCCATCCGCTAAGTTTGGCAGCGTCTCTGGCCGCGGCCGCGGCCAGGTCCAAGAACAGCAGCATCGCGGACCTCAGGCTGAAAGCTAGACGACATCAGGAGGCGCTGGGCCTCGACAGGCCCGCGTAAAATCCAGTGAGGGCCGACACGGGGTGAGAATTTCGGGGCCTAGGCCCTCTGGACGATCAGGCCGCGGTTAGAGTTGTTGCTTTGCACGGTGGTGAGTAGTGATTTTTTCGTTCCATTCTCATTCGACGAGGATAAGATTTTCCGATTGTTCTCAGAGGTGATTTAAAGACGTCGACTGATGTTATTGGTTATTTAGTTGTTCAGTTTTGTTTCGAGGGTAGGAAGGACAGTTGACTCATGATTCGTTGGTAGGTTTTGAGTATCTAAGGAATGGGGCTGGACAGAGCTAGGACATTCGATCGTGGCGACAGTTTCTAGAGTCTCGAGGTCTGAAATAGGAACATTCTCTTACCGCTTGTAATTTCATCCGCTCACCACCGCTGTAGCAACGTTTTAATGGCTGTACTCGCGGGCAATCCACCATAATTATTTCACGAAACGCTGATTTAGATGGAATCGATGGAAGTATCTTGAACAAATTTGAGGGAATCGGTATTCGGTATCGGGGATCAATGATGAACGATGTCAAAGCACAAATACAAGTTTCTTTTTACTGGGAAGTGAATGGAAATTTAACGAACATGGTGGATCACCGATGTACGTGGAGAAGAACCGTTCGTTCGAGGGAAACGGTGTTTTCGGCTGCTCGCTGACGAACGTACGGAAATATACGGAATGTTAACTCGTTCGTTTCTCAGCCGCCATCTTGCGAAGACACTCGCCGGGAAAATGGCCTCACCAATGCGTACGGACTCGCCTGTCCGTGAAGTACAAACGGAGACTCGATGTGTATAAAGTGAACAATTTTCGCAGACGTGTGTATTATACATGATATATATTATATATATTATAAATAGTCGAGGATCAGTAGTAGTTGGGCTTCAAAATTACGAAGATAAATTCCCGTGATACTCGTTCCTCCCGACGGAACGGCTGTTCGTTCTCGAAACGCGGTTACTTTGCTCGTTGCACGTTCGATAGGACACGCAGCGAGAAGAATCGGAAACTGGATGAATAAACACACGGAAAGGATCTCTTTTCTTTTTATTTTCTTTCGGTAGCCGCTGTGAAAATTGTTGAACACGACGGAATAACTTTCGCGTAGGTACTCGATGTTTCGAAAATGAATGCTCAGGCTGTTCTCGGATACAAGATTGTCATTCTGTATACTATTAGCTTTAAAATATATAAACTTGAATCTTCAACGATCCTGGATTCCTTATTGCAGATTACCTTCACGTAGAAGCGGTATTTTAGAAGATAAATTCCTATCTGCAAAAATACCCTTAGACGGAGACGATAATTTGATCTCAACATCAATAACAACTCTCGTTCAACCCCTATACTAAACTATTCATAGCAACAGAAGAAACCGAGAAGCATTAAAAACATGCACCTCAAGATTTCAGTAACAGTTGCACACAGAAACGAAAGATAACTTCGTTGTCAATATTTCACCATTAAACTAAACAATTCCTTCTGACTCTCAAAGTAACCCCTCGCCGTACAATAACACGTAAGACTCGTGAAGATTTTAAACACAATACAACAAACACGAGTTACTAAATTCCTACGAATTCGAATGAAATATTATTTCTGTCATCAACTTCGCCCTCGAGGGAACATTCGCGTATACGCTTAAAATTTTCCTCTTTCTATCGATCGATCGAGAAATAGTAATCGATCGTAGTCGAGAAACAAATGACAGGGCAAGGGGTTGATAGTGGCACAAATCTAACGAGCGTAATTGCGAAGATCGCGCGACGGGGGGTTGAATCACGAGTTCTCCGCTTCCTCGGCGCGAAAGGCACGAGCGAGTCAAGACAAATCGCGCGTGCTGGCAACACCGTCCAAGATATAATTCTTGGGGATGATTCACGGGTGGGTGGACAGACCGAACGTAGCAGGTCCGGCGTCCTCGCGGCGATCCCGATCCCGTAGCGCCCCCGGGACGCTGGCCAGCGGCATCGTCGTCGGGGGCGCTAATGCAATAACGCGTCGGTACACGGATAAATCAAGCCGACCGAATCGTTCCGCCAGTGCTGTGCCACCTAATCGCGTTACCCCGCTCGTCCCCCGGGCGCCATTACTTTTTCGTTCGCGTTTCCGTCGGGCGCGAGGGTCGCGCGACGTTCCCGCGAACCTTTCAACCGGTTCGCCGTTTTTCTGCTCGAGCGCGATGTTTCCGGGAGGCTACACTTCATTTAGGGGACTGGATGAAGTTTCTCTCTCGAAGAAGATTTTTCTAAATCGTTAATTGCTTTGTTGAATTAATCCCTTGTATTTTGATTTGTCCGGTGACTAGACTTATCACTGGATTATCAAAATCGAAGTGAGAAAGATATTACTCACCTGTTCTAGATCGGTATTACGTTCTGTTTCGTAAGCTTAGCATTTTCTTTAATATTATGGGGCGATTAAATGTTTTCACCTGTTTTCATTGTACAAATTTAATTATTGGTGTTTGTGTAATACTTTGGATTATTCTTTATAAGTGTTTCGATGCTGAAGTGGAATGTAACGGAAAATAATTGAGAAGCTAGGTTATTTTTTAACGAAACCGCTCCGGATCTTTCTTGCATTTAAAATTCGGTTTCACCGTGCAAACACACATGGTATTCCGCTGTGCCGCGGACCCGTGGATATTCTCGCAGGTAAATCGGACAAGCGAAATCACTACGGAAGCGCGGCGTCGCTTAATCGTATTATCGCGGGCTCATCCTGGACGGCCCCGAGGGTGTCGTTATTGTCCTATTCGCGTTCGCGCGCGTACACCTAAATGGCAGCTTTATTCGATCGTTAAACTTCATTTAAAAGATTAAAAAGTGAAGAAGGAGGACGCGGGGACCGATAGAGCTGAAACTGGGAGCGGATATCTCTTGCGGGAAACGGTTCGTCCTCTCGACGAAACTCAAAAAAAAAGAATCAGTTTAATATCGAAGCACACCGAAATCCAAACCCATACGAATGTCAACGATTAGGAAAATACCAATCATAAGTATCCTTCGCCCATATTCCAACGAGGATACCCGTGAAATCCAAGAAAATCTGAATTTATCCAACAATTCTCAGTCGCAGTTTCAATATCCTTCCACGCAATCTTCAACCCCCATGATTCTACGGAGGACTCCGCGAGGATATCGAACGAGGGCGAATAAATACGTTCAGAAGTAGCAAAATAGGATTGGAACTTTCCGCGTGAACTGAAACAAAGGCCGCAGCCGAACGATCCGCTGGCGAAGCTCTCACAGGTGGATCAGCCTAATCGACGAGCTTAAAGGATCGATTTAACCCCCGCGCGCCATCTCGGTAATCAATTTAACCGTCCCCGGCGAATTGTCACCTAGCCGGGGATTCCCGCGGGGGCAACGGTATACGGCGAGCCCCCTCGAAACGACCCCCATCCACCCCATCGCCGCCGCGAATAAAATAAAGTCCCGCCCCGTATCCCGAAATGAGTTCCGAGGGTGGAACGGAAGGATGCGGGAAAAGAGAAAAGGCGGCGAGGAGCCGTCGCTTATTTTAATCCGAGTTTAAAGAAGTTTCTCCTTTCCTGCCGACTCGTAAATTGGCCGTCGTTTGTCTGCCGCTAAGGGGCACTGCGAATCGGGGGTGAAATTCCCGGCCGAGCCGGCGAGGAAACGTATCGGCCCCTTTGATCCCCCGAGGAACGCGTTTCCGACCGTTCACGCGATACGTGTTCGCGCGAATGTCCCTTTTGCGGATCGCACCCGGTTTTCGCGAGATTTCGGATCGGGTTCTTCGCACGCGTGGAACTCTTCTTTCAAAGGGGATTTGTTGATATATTTATCTGATACGTAGAATAACTTTGGATGTCCTAGATAACGTTTAGTTTTTAATGTGAACATTAAATATTTATCTTGTAACTTTCCATTCATTCGTTTAATCTTTATTCATCTTCACGACGACATTGAGAGACACAACTATCGAAAATAATCAAAATTCAATCGAGCTACAGTTTATTGTATTTCGTCGTTACATTCGAAGAACATAGATCGCGTAGATCAAGTATAAAAAAAAGCAGTTGATGATCGTCCTTTCGGGAACCGTATGAAACATGAGGTACAATGTTTGTCTAAACAATTCACTAAAATGTACAGACCTCGCGGCTACGAGCTACTAGTACCACTAGCCCATCCATCAGGATAAATTCCTTGGGGTTCGAAGTCCGTTTATACACAGCCATGGAATAATTAATCGTTCACCGTAATCACAAGTTGGAAATCCCACTCGAATGACTCACGATGCGTATTGCTGTGAATATCATTCGTTTCTTTTTAATAATAATCAAACAACAAGCTATCGTAATTGAGAATATACACTGGTTCCGTTGATACACGTCATCATATATAAGTATATATGTATATAAGTAGCTAAATATATAAATATATATTCACAAATGTGTCGGTCTAAACGCAAAACAAAAATAAAGAAAAGTTGTACAAGCGCTGATAGATTAATTTCTTATCTATGTGCGTAAGACATAAACATAAACATAAACACTCCACGCATTCGATTCATCGACGCGATCTTCATAAAATAAATAAAAATCAAGTAACCACCATAGTTTATTAAATGGTTTGTTAACGACGACCGTATCTCACGAAAGTTTCGTACCGTCGTCTATCGACAACAGTAGTTAAAGGATTAATGATAAAACGATGAGTGGATTTGTTGTGTATTAGGCAGTTGTTTCGTGATGTGGAGTGAAATAGTGGATGAAGGATTGTAGTTGAATTAGACAGATAAACGGAAGATAGAATTCGTTCTTGTTGGAAAAATTGAATTTATTAGATCGCATGTTGTATTAGTTTTACAGTATAATGGATGAGAGGAATAGTGTAACATAAAGTTGTCATAATTAGCCTCGCGTATACGCGCGTAAAGTACATTGAACAGATTCGAGGGGAATCTTGCATTCATCGGTAATTGTCCCAGAAGTTCGCTGGCTGCTGAGAATCGAGAGCAAGCGTAGCGCG